GCTAAAAGGGATCACTCCCCCCCCCCCTCATTTGGTCACAAAGTGATGCTCTGACTTGCCTAGGAGGTGACAGTCTGGGTTCAGAGAAACAATGGGCTGAAAAGGAGAGAATATGGATAATGGGAGGAGCCTACGGAGGGAAGGAAAGAGCCTTTGCTATGTCAGGTGGATGTTTCTAGTAGGAATGAATCTGACGTGGCCAGTGGTCCCTGGATGTTAAGCAGGAGTGTGCCTCCATGGAAAGGCCGCTATTGTGCCTGTTCTTAAGCACTCTGGGGCCTAGGGAGCGGTCTTTTCTGGGGTGCTATGGTCACAGTTTCTGGACACACTCTTGCTGAGGTTCTTTCCAGGTAGTGCCCCGTGTGTGTCTCTCACACCCCTTGCCCTGTCTTGTCAGGTGGACGCCTTAAGCTGACTTGCTGTCCCATGTTGCCTGCCTGCCCTATTTCCCTTCCCTCCTCCCCTGCCTCCTTTCCTCCCTCCCTCCCTCCCTCCCTCCCTCCCTCCCTCCCTCCCTCCCTCTTCTCCCTGTCTTCCCTCCTCCTCTTTTTTTCTGTCCCTTCTCTCCCTCTCTCTCCCCCTTTTCTCTTTCCTTCCCCCATTTCCCTTCCCCTAAGTCTTTGGGCTTAGCCTCTGTCTGCTCAGACCAGTCCCCTCTCACTTCCTCTTGCTCCTTCTTTCCCTTTTCCATCCTTGGTTGGACGCCTTCCTAGGGCCCCCTGCCAGCAGAGCAGGTCAAATTATAAAAGGAGATTTAAAAAATAATGTTCCTTGGCAAAATGGGGGAACCAGACGTTCAGGGCTGGCGTGGCTGTCTCGCTGTTGGCTGCAGCGCAGCCTTGCGGGATTTCTAGAGATGAACATCCATCCCCAGAGCACAGGCACACATGTGTTTCAACACCAGATGTATCCGAATATTTATTTCTCCTTAATTCTCTTCTTGCTGTAACCTGTGAGTCCTCGGCCCACTGTGGGCAGGCTTGCTGGCTGCCTGGCAGAAACGCCATTTTCTCTTCTCTTTAAAGCTTTTGAAATGCTGGACAGAGTGGCTCCCATTCCTACGTCCAGGCTGTGCCTTCACAGGAAGTAATTTTACGGAAGCTTCTGGTTCTTGCTGCGGTAGGGGAAGGAGTCTAGGCATAGCACAAGGGCTGCTGTAGGGCTGAGAAGTAGTATTGGCTTGGTTTGGGGATAGGGCAGGCTTCCATACAGTGCTGCTGAGAACTGGTGTTCGTGTGCGATACCATTGTCAAGCCTCAAATTGGCTATGTAGTTAAGAATGGCCTTGATCCTCCCGTGTTGGCCTCCCAAGTGCTGAAACTTCAGGTGTGCTCTACCATGCCTGTACACACGCACACACACATACACAAACACACATACACACATGTGTGCACACACACATGCACACACACACATACACACACACTTACGTGTTTATCTGCCAGGAGTCCTCTGTTCTTGTCTTCAAGACCTTCAGGAAATGAGAAAGCTCTACTATTGTCTAGTCAGTTTGCTTAGACTCTTTTTTGAAATCGGATCTCAGGTAGCCAAATCTGGCCTCAAACTCACTGTGAAAAGTAAATATTTAGTTAGGTTTCTACTGCTGTGATAAAACACCACAGCCAAAACTAGCTTGGGGGAGACCGGGCTTATTTCACCTCCCACCCCTCAGGTGGCAGTCGCTGAAGGACAGAAACTAGATAAGAGCTGAAGCGGAGGTTGTGGAGGGGACCTGAGGATGCTCTGACATCCTCATCTGACGCCATGAAGGGTCCTGAGGATTCTCTGACATCCTCATCTGAAGCAGAAGTCATGGAGGGGACCTGAGGATGCCTTGACATCCTCATCTGAGGTCATGGAGGGACCTGAGGATGCTCTGACATCCTCATCTGAAGCAGAGGTCATGGAGGGGACCTGAGGATGCTCTGACATCCTCATCTGAGGTCATGGAGGGACCTGAGGATGCTCTGACATCCTCATCTGAAGCAGAGGTCATGGAGGGGACCTGAGGATGCTCTGACATCCTCATCTGAGGTCATGGAGGGGACCTGAGGATGCTCTGACATCCTCCTTTTTGTGCCTCTTTTCCTCTGAGTTCTGGGATTGCCCGTGTGTCCCACCATGCTGCTTTTACTTGGTGGTGGAGATCCCACACATGTGTTCTTGCGTGCTGAGGGAGCGCTCTCCCAACTGAGCAATATCCATAGCCAAACTTTCTCCTTAAATGTAAGTTTCCCCCCCTTGAAGTCTCCAAGCTGTTTTCTCCCTGGACTCAAAGGGAGGCTGCAAACTGATGATTCACTGTGGAGGAGGAGGCAGACAGTGCCAGGTCCCTGTGAGACAGACCCTGGTGTGGGTTAACTGCAGGGACCCAAGCTGAGGCAGGGTTTCTCTGTGTTTCCCCAGCCCGGGGGCGTCAGTAAGTCTGGATGAATGAGCACACCTACATTACAGGCCATATTTTATACACACTGTTCTCATCTTCTCAGCCCACCGTTTTTAAGTTAAATTAAATGGATTGATCTATTGTGAAAACTTTTATAATCTATCTATCTATCTTGAGACAAAGTCTCACTGTGTAGCTCTGGCTGGCCTTGGGCTTGCTATGTAGACAAAGCAGGCCTTGAACTTTCAGAGATGCATCTACAGGCTTGTCCCACTATTGCCTTTTTTCTCTTTTCTTTCCACCACTCCCACCATCCTTTCTTCTTTGAAGTCCACACTGTTTCTCCTCTATTCTATTCATCTAGTGACACCAAATGGAGAGAAATAGAAAGGAAACAGGAAAAGCACAACCACCGCACCCAAACTCGTACCATTTAGCTAAAGAAACAGGCTCCTATTCCATGTAGACTGGGAGCAGAAATGATGTTCCTATGCCACCCTTAGCTTCCCAAATACTCAAGGTTGTGTTTACAGTTGCCCAGCGTGTTCTGCACGGTCACATGCAGTAGCGGGGTCTAATGGTGAACAACAGGCCTTGCCAGGTAGTCCAGGTGTATGTGTGCAGCCTGTTCTCACATGCTGACGGAAGTGTCCAACAAGCTACTTTTGGGAGAGAACCCCTCTTTTCTGAGATGCGTGGCTGTGCCCACTTTATAGGACTGCTGGGAGGGGTTTGTCAAGATGGTGAGGGCTAAGAGGTTGTGGTTGTGCTTTTTAGCCTGGCGGTGCATGAGGGCTGTCAGGACACAGTCACAGAGCTGGGGGGGGGGCACTAGGCTTTGTGGATGAGACCCTAGAGCAGCTGACATGCTTGTCCTTTGAGCTCTCACCACAGTCCAAGGACTGAGTTCAGAGTGGTGGCGATGCGATGCGATCAGCAGGGAACTACATAGGGACCCCACTGTGTGCCTTCCTAAATGGTGTGGCCTGATGCCTGGCAGAATGTTTGTCACCCTCTGAAAAGGCACTGAAGTTAGACTTGGCAAGGGTCAGTGGGACAAAGTCATCATCACGTTTGCTAACGCCTGATTCCTTCTTTCCCCTCCGTTACAAATGCTGTTGGTGGTTCACGGTTGTTAGCATCTTGGCTGAACCTCCACTGCTTACTATGATGTCTTGGTCCACTTATTCATACTACTGGTCACGTTGACTGGAGTTTGTGGCCCATGAATAGGCTGACAACAACTCTTTATCCCGACCCTTTATAAGGTTTAAGGATATACTCATGCTGAGTAGAGTTTGGCAGACGTCGAAAATAAAAGCACAGCACATTTATTTCTTTATTGTAGGTATGATAAGCCCCCTGAATATTTGGGCCAGGCTGTCTAAACACTTCTGTTGCTTATCTGGAATCCAAGCCCCAGTCATCCCTAGCCTTACCCTGCAGTCCTGGCTATGGGACCCCCCTGGGTCTGCCCTGCTCTTTGCATTGGATTTTCTCTCTGTTGGTAGATGTGGCAGAGATGACTCGGTGCCGTATCTCCAGATTAGATGCCTACCTGGCTCACTTCAGGGGGCCTACAGTAGTCAAACTTGATTTTCAGTGGGGTATTTATCACCTCGATAAGAAAACTGAAGCTACAAACCAACCTCTCCTGCAGAAACCGGGACTGGTCCAGGGGTTTGACGTGTACCACATTTTGTGCAAACACAGGAGAATCCTGCAGTGGGACTTTTCCGACTGCTGTGATGAAACACGTGGTAAAAGCAGCTTAGGAAGAACTGGTTCTGGCTTCTAGTTCTAGGTGTGGTCCATCATGGTGGGTAGGCATGGCAACGGGAAAGAGGCAGTTGCTGCGTTGCAGTCGGGACAGAATGGTGAATGTGGATGCTTAGATGGCCTCCTCTTTCCTCCTTTATCCAGTCTGAAAATCCCGTAGGATGGAGCTCCTCAGTTAGTCCTCGCTGGGAACACCCCCAGATCTTCCCAGAAGTGTCTTCTAAGCGGGTCTCAGTTGACAGTAAAGATGGACTTTCACAAGTCCTCTGAACTGAATACATGTCTTCTTCAATATTAAGATTTTGATTTTTTCCCTATTCTTTTAACAAAAACCAAGGCTGAGCTGTTCCATTTTGGAGAAGTCAGAACATCTTAATGTCCCCATGGGAGTGAGCCCCAGGACATCCTCCTTACCTCACACTTAGCACCATCAGGACATCTGACAGGATGTCATGTGATAGGGAATGGATTCCTGCCTCCAGAGAAAACCCGGTCTGTTGTACAGTGATGGTTAGTAGCAAGGTCTTAGAGGCTTAAAACTTCATTTCCTATTTCCTTTACCCAGTTATCCACCTTTTGTCTTCTACAGCTTTCTCTCTCTCTCTCTCTCTCTCTTTCTCTCTCTCTATCCACAAATTAATTCTGATTATTAGTTCATCTAAAATAGCTAACCTAGCCCATTGGTCTTCAGGTTTGTATATATAAACACACACACAAACACACACACACACAAATACATTTTCCATTTGACCTCTAATTAAACAGAAATTCAATGGAATAGAAATTAGCTTTTAAAACATGTTTTATCTTAAAATATATGTATATGTGTGGCAGGGATGGTACGGATGAGTTCAGGTGCCCGCTGAGGCCAGAAGAGAATGCCAGAGTGCTGAAGCTGGATTGACATGCTGTTGGAGGCTACCCTGTGTGGATCCTGCGCAGGAGCAGAACACGTTAACTGTGAGGCATCTCTCCAGCCCTACTAATTGCCCACTTTTAAGATGGATTTTTTTTAATGATGTCCTAGTTCATTTATTTACAATACTGGTTATTTGACATTGAACTTGTGATCCATGAATGGATGGCCAATTACTGTGTGTGACATACTGCATCAGGGCTCTGTGGAGCAAATGCCGAGGAGTTTTGGCTCTTCAGATATTCAGAGCCAGGCATCATCCCATGTCCCAGTTTCCCTTCTCCGGGCTAGGGGTGTCCGGGGGCCCGCTCCACTGCCACCCTGCCCAGCATCTTCTGAGTGCTTTGTTTAGGAATGTTGCCCTGGAACCTGGCCTCTGCACTGAACACACAGCCTCATGCACGGCTTGACTTATACATGGCTCAGTTAGTGGCCATCAGACCCTTTTGTCTCAACCCTTGTCTGAGTTGCTGTCAGCCAACAAACCAATTCTGATTTATTGTTCACCTAAAATGGCTAATTTAGCCCAATGGTCCCCAGGTTTGTCTTTTAGGATATCTTAGGATATTTTCCTAAATTATGGGAATGAGGTCGGTGAATAGCTCAAATCAACATGACCGTCTTTCATACTTCTTACAAGTTCCCGAAACTCAAGAAGTATAAAAAGGAAGCTGTAACTACCAGCCCTCTGCCCTAGCAACAATTTAAACACCGGTACAATGGTCTCTTGATAAAAGAACAGGTTAATAACAACAGCTAGTAATCTGGAGATGAGCTGTGAACTGAATGTGTGGTCAGCTTTGCTAGTGATCCTGAATCTCCCAAAGCCCCTCGAGGCAATATGCAGGTCACCACAATAATAAAGAGAGAAAACCCTGAGTTTTGTGTAACTTAAGGTCATCCTCAAATAACTAATAAATGACGGGGTGAGGAAGCCTATTCCAGGACCGTCTGAGTGGGAAGTCTGTTTTAAAATATGCAGAGAGAGTGTGTGCTGTGGTTGTGGGAACACAGAGCTTGCTTCTTCCCGGTTTAAGAGGAAGAGACTGTGTTTGCCTTGGGGGCTCATCACTCACTACCTGAGGATCTGTTGCAGAGGCCTTTGCTCTAGGCAGTAAGATCTGGAGTCCTGGAGACTGTCTGGTGAGGTGAGCTAGGAGGGATGTAACCGTGAGAAAACCTGCTCTGTCCCATGCTACCCGGAAGAGTTTACCTGCCTCTTTCCTGTCTGCATAAGCCTCATCTTCATAGATAACCAGCCCTGCGGGGTAGCCTGCACTGATCACGTGTACAGTCACAGAGCCTGGGTGTTGAAATATTGAGCGGCGGCGGGGCTGCGTCCCCAACACCCCGGCCGCTTGGCTAGCTCATGCCCGAAATAACAACACACAAACTGTATTCATTTAAGAACTGCTTGGCCCATGAACTCTAGCCCTTACAGGCTAATTCTCGCACCTGGACTAGCCCATTTCTAATGATGTGTGTAAGCACCCCAAGGTGCGCTTACCGGGAAGATTCTAGCCTCCGTCCATCATGGTGTCTCTGCTCCAGAGAGCAGAGCTGTTGAGTCTCCGGGAGCAGAGCAGAGTCTGACCTCACTTCCTCTTCCGCCCAGCATCCTATTCTGTTTCCTCCTCCCATCTATGCTCTAAGCTAAGCCAAGCAGTTTCTTTATTGCTCAGCCAATGAAATCAACAGATTGATATGACACTCCCACATCACCTGGGGGAGACGGTGTGTGTGCTAGCTCAAGGAAGAAGTTGGGATTTGCTCATTTTGTTCCCAAAATCATCTGTCTGAATCCTCATTTAGACTGGGATTCTGAGAGCCAGACAAGAGGGACCCAGTGTCCCAAGCCAGCGGCTCTCGTCCTATGTGATACCTTGACAGACAGCCTCAGCATCATTGGGAAACTTGTCAGAAACACGAATTTGAGGCCCGCCCAGACCTACTGAGTCAAAAGCTAGGACAGGCCCAGCAGTCTGCATTCACAAGCCTCACAGATGGCTCCCAGACTACTGAGGTTCACCAGGGACGTCCCAGCACACAGTATCATGGATCTTTCCTGGTTTCTGTTTCAACAGAATCTGTGTTCCCTTGCCCAGTCTGTGAATTGCTCTGTGTAGGAATTCACGTTCCCAGTTTCGTGGAATCGTTCCTGTCCTTACCATCTGTTCTCAAGCCTCCGTTGCTCTTAGAATGATGCTGGCTGTATCACAGACACACACACTTTGATTGCTAGATGGATAACTTAGAACATTTATCACGTCAACTGTAACATTTCCTCCAAATTTATGCTGTAAAATGACTCACCCCCTTCTAAACTGAACTTCCCAGTGGTGGAACCATTAGAACAGTGGGGCTTTCCCATCGCCCTGTTTCTGTCGTGGCTTTCATGGTGTAAGAGCTGCCGCCGGCCTGCAGTCCCCATTCCAAAAGAGATAAACTGTGCAGGTCGCAGAGAGGCCAGGTTCCTTCCATTGTTCTCTGGCTCTAGGTTAAAAAGATAGGTTTTCAGAATGAAACACCCAAGCTGAGCCTAATCCCCTGTAAGTCCTCAGCATCAACATTGTGATCCAAGTTGTCACTTACTGTGAAAACTCTTGCTGGTCATGTTAGGTCGCCCTGGCCTAGAATTTTCGTTCTTGGGATTGCGGGCCTGTACCACCATGAAAGGTTCAAATCCTTGCTTTTAACAGTGGTTTGATGTTCTTAGAAACCCAGTGTGCTTTCAGTTTTATATATACAAATGTGTATCACCACTAGGAAGAAGGCAATAAATTATTTTCTTTGTGTGAGATATAATCACTGGGCAAACACAGCTGAGACTGCTTTCTGTCGAGGAAGAATCAATAGAGAGAGGCCCAGGGGCTTCCTTCTCTATTAAGCAATGCCAATTAATTAACCAAGTCAGCAATTCTCAGCCAAGGACAACTTAGTACCCTACGGTATAGCTATGTCTAGAGAGTTTTTTTTATCTTTCCTTTCCTTCCTTTCTTCCTTCCCTCCTTCCTTCTTTCTTTTTAAGATTTTTCCTGCATGTATGTATGTACACCGTGGGTGTTCAGGGCCTGCAGGAGCCAGAAGAGGGTGGATTCCCTGGAACTGGACTTAGAGACTGTTGTAAGCCACTATGTGGGTGCTGGGTACTGAACCTTGGTCTGAGCAAGAGCATCCAGTGATCTTAAATGCCAATTCATTTCTCCAGTCCTGTTTTCTTAACCAGGCATCAAGAGGTGACTGCTACTGACTCTTCAACTACAGTGCATAGAGCAGTATCTCACAACAAAAGCTTTCAGCCTATTGTCAGTCAGTGCCTCTGCTGAGAAACCCTAACCCAGACAAATCAAGCCATAATCGGTGAGAACTATCACCAACTCCCAGTGGTCCTGAGGTTTCTGTAGTGAGAGTCTCAATAACAACCAGAATAGCTTGATCATTTCAATAGTTACTCATGCCAAGCTCATATCCAGAGCCTGTTTAGCATCCTCTAGAGTTTGTAGCCAGTTTTTAGAATCAGCCCCCTTCTACTTTCCCACATTTTTGTGGTAGATGCATTCTCTGGCCATGGTCTTATCTTCTCTGTCTCTCACATTTTAATAGCTCCAATTACAGGCTACTCGTATATTAGATAACAACACCCCCGGGAGGAGCTGATGAGGCAAGAGACCAGTGTGTCACTGAGGGTGTGAAACCGAAAGCATCCCCACAAACAGGCCTCAGACCCATAACTTAGTCACTGAGCCAAATTACCTGTGGCAATTTAGGTAGCTCAGAGCCTGGCTTCTGTCTGTCCCTAAGTCCTCCAGTGAGTTTCAAATGGAGCAGACTCCCAGCTGATGGATTCTGTGCTGGTTGATGATTTTCTGTCAGCTCGGCACAAGCTCTGGTCATCTGCGAAGTGAAACCCTCAGTTAGGAAATTGTCTCCGTCAGGCGGGCCCGTGAGCATGTCTGAGGGGCATCTTGTTTAAGGATTGATGTGGTAGGCCGATCCCAGCTGTGGGTGGTATCACCTCTGGACAGGTGGTCTTGGAGTGTATAACAAAGCAGGCTGAACAAGCTATGGGGAGCAGCCAGTCAGCGTGTTCCTCCATGGCTTCTCCATCAGCTCCTGCCTCCAGGTTCCTGCCCTGACTTCCATTCACGATGGACTCTAAGCTCTAAGGTGGAATGAACCCTTTCTTCTCCCAGCCGCTTGTGTTCACGGAGTTCATCACAGCAGCAGAAAGTGAACTAGGACTTGATCCTGCTGTGTCACACTTTTCTTAGGAGTGGCTGCCTTGTCCTCGGACACAGTTTCCCCGGACTCAGGGGTGTCTCACCCTGGATGTCTGTCCATTTTCCTCACCACACTCCTTCCCTTTTGCTTTTCCTTTTCCATGGTGACGAATCTGGCCCTGGCAAGATTCTCTGGCCTCTTCCTCCTCTCTCATCACCCACACCCTATAGACGTTGGTCCCTGGATCATGGAGCTAGCTCTCAACACTTCCCAAGTTGGGGGCAGGGCATATGCCTGCCTCTTGGGAGGCAGCATGCATGATGTAAGGCTTACTCAAGAATGTGATGGTATGTTTGGAGACAAGTTGGGAAGGGAAGACCAACTGCTATCTTTACAAAATACACAAGAGAATGAAAAGCTTGGAAAGAATCTCTTCGTCTGTGGAGAGTACACCCTTATCCAAAGGCATGCACCAAGCCTGCCTGTGGGTGCCAACCTCCTACTGTGGCCGTTTCCATTGTCGGTCTGATTGGATTGAGAAACACGCGGGGCATTGATGAAGAATACCTTTGCCTGTGTTTGTCAGGGCTTTCCCCCAGAACAGCTGAGGGTGGAGGACCCATCTGGAATGTGGGTAGCGCCATCCTATGGACTAGAGTTCTTGCTAAATAAAACAGGAAAAGGCAAAACCAGGTAAAAGCTGAACACCCCTTTCTCTTCTTCCTGATCTGCCCAGATGTGACGAAGCAGCCTCACGTTCCTGCCCCCATGCCTTCCCCACCTAGCAATGGCGTGACATGAAATGAATATTTCCTGTCTTCAATTATGTCTTGTCAGATCTTTGGTTATGAAAATGAGAAAAGTAATTCATGCGTCTATATGCCGTATGCTTTCACCTACACATACATACACATGACAAATTTAAATTATATAATAAGCTTATTAAGAAATTAACAATAATAGCTGAATAAACTAGGGCACTTATACAATCCATGTTCTCCCTGGTTCAGAGTGCCTTCTAGTGTAATTGCTGATGGAAGGGCAATGCCTCCTGCATGGATATACTGGAAAGGAGGACAGTGACCTATCACAGTACCACAAGGGTACTCAGAAAGCATATGAAAATTTTTTTCTGGAATTTGCCATGTAGTAGTTTTGGACTGCAGCTGACTAGGTAAACTGAAACTACAGAAAATGAATTTACAGATAAGAGGATGCAGCCAGGCAATGGTGGCACACACCTTTGATGCCAGCACTCAGAAGGAGGAAGTCAGATACCTGTGAATTCTAGGCCAGCCTGGTCTATGGAGTGAGTTTCAGGACAGCCAGGGCCACACAGAGAGACCCTGTCTTGAAAAACCAAACAACAATAGCAAACAAACAAACAAACAAAAAACAACAGCAGAAAAACAAAAAACAAATAAGAGGATGCTACTGGGCCTGGGTCCGTCAAATCCAGTGTGAATGTGGCCATTGGATGTTTATGAAGGAATTAAAAGGGGAGATGCTGAGGAGCAGTGCTTTCCTTTCTTGTGTCCATGGCTTTGTCTAGAATAGCCGATTTCAGTCGGGTGTAGTGGGGTATGCCTATAGTTCCTGTAGCATGAATTCTAATTAGCTTTAATAATCAAAACCCCAAGTCAGATATAAGGGTAAAGGCTGAAAGATCAAAGAAACAGATCAGCCAGTCACTAGTTCTTACCTCTACAAAATCCTCAGACCGAATGGGGTGTCCTGTATCTACAAATCCTCAGACTAAATGCAATGAACTCGTGTCTCCTCCTCCCCAGCCATACCCCTTCCTGTCTCTATGTCCTTACTGTTGGGATTAGAGGCATGGACTCCCAAGTACTGGAATTAAAGGTGAGCCTCCTCTGTCTAGCTCTGTTTCTCTTTGAGACTCGATCAATCTGTGTAGCCCAGGGCAACCTTGAACTCACAGAGATCCATCTGCATCTGCCTCCCAAGTGCAGGGATTAAAAGGTGTGTGCCACCACTGCCTGGCTTCTATGGCTAATTAGTGACTCACTCCACACTCTGATCTTCAGGCAAGCTTCATTTGTTATAGCACAAACAAAAGATCACCACATTTTCAACACTTGGAATGGCAGTATGACCATGAGTTCAGCATTGTGGACACCAGGACATTAGAGCTATCTTGCAAGGACCCTGCTTAAAACAAAACACAACCTACCCTCCAACAGCAGCAATACCAGACACCCCCTTGTCAGTCCTTGGGTCCCTTTCAGTGCTGAGTGCAATCCACTTGTGCCTCAGTAGCGCCCCTCTTGGTGGCCTCTGTGTGTCAGCCACCACTCCTTACCTTTAGCAAATTGAGTTTGGTGTGGCCAGTACTTCTGAAAGAAATTTGAGAGTCCCACTACCCCAGTAAACCTAGGAGGGACTCTTTGTGAGCTCTGACATCTATGCTGAGATGTTCTGAATTCGGAGATAGGCTATGGGAATTCAAATTCCTACATGCTATGGCTCAGAAATCACACTTTGGAAAGTACCGGAAAACCGGAACTTTAAAGCAATCTTTCTAGAAGCAAAACAAGTCATTTTAATCAAGGCTGCCTGATTGAAACCTTCCATTGGTTTGTTCTTTAAATAGTCATTCATTGTGCCCTACAGGCTGTAGTGCCCATCTCAGAGGAGGCTACGTGATTCCCTGCATGACTTTGTGGACTCTTCTGTCCTTAGCCTTCTCTTTCCCTCTTCGGCCACTTAGTGTCCAATGAGCAAGGTCCAGGCTAATAAAAACTTAGATGTGTGTTCAGATAGGAGCTGAGTGCATGTGGATGGAGGGTGTTTGCATGCTAATAAAGCATTGAAAGCCCTTGGTATTTTGAAATTCTGGAAGAAAAAGGGAAGACTCTCGCTGACTTCCTAAGCTGCAGATACTGGTCTGCTATCTCAGCCCTCAAAACAAGCTTCAGAGGTTGAGGCAGAAGAAACTGTGGTTTGTGGTCTAACCCTCCCAGTCTAGAAGGGGAAGAACCTAGGCTAGTGCTCAGGCCTTACCCTCAGGCTGCTGATATCCTATTGGCAATATCCAATACCCATCCTGTTTGGTCCCCGAAGGACACTCAATTGTCCCTATCACCTTCCCTAGCTGTTAGTACGAGAAAGAGTGAGTCACTGCAGAATGGATGTTGACATTTAGTGTGAGTATGTATACCCCCTCCCCCAGAAGCACAGGTATGAACCACTGCTTTGCTTGCTAGTTAAGACATTATTTTAGGAAAAGTCTTACTCGTCAACATGACTGACCTGACATCCTCTTTGTGGGACCAGAACTTGATGCGTTTCTCCTGCCTCTGCCCCTCTAGAGCTGGTATTATTGGTGTGTACCACCATTATTTATTGTTGTTGTAGTTGTTATTATTATTATTATTATTATTATTATTATTATTATTATTATATGTGATCTGTTAGAGAAAGCTTTGTTGGAGCTGGCACCTTTTCTTTCAGCCCACAGTTTCTGAGCAGTCGATTCAGAGACATGGAGAAGGTCACTCATTTTCTACATTCGAGGTACAGACTACTAGCAGCTGAGAGGGCTAAGACAGGGTTAGGAAAGCTGGCCTCCAGCAGGGCTTTCTGTCTAGGCTGCCACGTGTGTGGCTACTTGGGGTCAATCGAGGAGTGCAGAGTGTGGGCCAAACTCTCCTATGAACTCCCAAGATTCTCAGCTTGCAGACTGTGCCCTAGAGAGCTGCGGAGCTGGGTGACAAAGTAACCTTGGCACTTCCCAGCCCTTTTCTTTCTCCAGCCTCTCCCAGCCCTTGTTTCACTTAGAAGCATGCTTTCCATGTGAACTGGTTTGCATGCTTCCACCTTGTCTCCTTCGCACTCCAGAGGGCCTCGGGTTCAATTCCCAGCACCTCCATGGCAGCCATAGCTGTCTGTAACTCAAGTTCCACGGCTTCTGGCAGCCTCACACAGACATATCTGCAGACAAAATGCCATTGAACACAAAATAAAAATTAATTATGTTTTAAAAAAGAGAGCGATTAGGTGTCTTGTCCAAGGTCAGTAGGATACCAGTCAGCTGAACTGTGATGTCACCCATGGAGGTGTTTGTATCCTAGAGCTGGTGCTTATAACTGGTCAGTTTTGCTTCCTCCAAGGACAGAACCCAGCAGGGGAATTAGAATGTGTAGACTAGCCTCTTCCCTTCAATTTCTGTCCATTACTTCTTCTTTATAACTTGTCAAGGTCCAGATAAATCACTGAAGCAATTGTTCCCTCATTGACTGTAAGGCACAGCCTCAGCTCCTAAGCCGGCACTCAACATTGACACCATGTGGTAGGGAGTGTTGTATGGAGGTTTCTGTCCCTTCTGGTCCCAACATAATCACACAGAAACTATATTATTAAATCACTGCTTGGCCCATTAGCTCTCACTTCCTATCGGCTAACTCTTATAGCTTAATTGAACACATCTCCATTAATCTATGCATCACCTCGAGATCATGGCCCACCTGCAATGTTTCAGCGCATCTCTCCCTGGAGGTGGCCCCATGTCTTCTCCTTGACTCCACCCTCTTCCTCCCAGCATTCAGTTTAGTGTTGTGTTATATGTGTCCCCCCACCAAGTTCTGCCTTGCTATAGGTCCAAAGCAGTTTCTTTATTAATCAATGGTAACCACAGTATACAGAGGGAAATCTCATCAAGGAAGCACATGTGGGGTGTGGGGTTCCACCCCGGCTTTGCTACTGAACTTGTTCTGTGACATTAGGGAAGTCATTTCACAGCCTGACAGGAGTCTCCTCAACAGCCAAACCAAGGTGTGGTACAGTTTCTTCATTTCATCCCAGGCCTACACTTCTGTGACTTTGCTCATCTTCCGCAAGCGTGTTGCCTCTTCCTTTGTAGTTAAAACTCTTTCCCCCATTTCTACTTTCTCGCCAAGCACGCGAACCCTGCCAGCTCCTTCTGGGCTCCACTGCCCTTGCCAGCCAGTGCCTCTTTTTCCTGCTCATCTGATCTACACCCCTCCCCCCTGCACTCTTTCTGGACCAGATGCTCCAGTCCAAATTTAACAAGTGAGGATCCACCGCCCTGCCTTTTCTGTGCACATATCTTGACTCTGTGTGTCTTACAAGGGCAGGTGACTTTAAGTGGAGCCTCTGCTTGAGAAATGACTCTGCCAATTACATTTGGGCCCTCAGTCTGCGGAGCCCATGTTACCAAATCTGAAGGCTGTCATGAAATCTGATGAAGCCCGGAGAGTAAAGATGTGAGCAGCTGAGTTAGGGAATTGGCACAACACAGACAGGAACCCTTTGATGGCCTGGGAAGAAGGGAGAGAGGGAGGAGACAGACAGAAGCCCGGATTTGCCCTAACCCTCTAAGACCTTGGTCTGCAGCCCCACCTCTCAGAAGATCAGAAAGGGCCCAGAACTTGGCTTCAGAAGGCAAGGACTATAATCCAGTACAGTGGGCTGGGTGTGGAGTGTTGCTTAGGAAAGAGATCCTGATTTCAGAGGTGGGACAGAGTCACAAACACTGTCCTAACACTTAAAATTCTTCACTTCTGGTTGAACAGATAAGGGCCTGGGGGTTGTGGCCACAGGATGTAAGGTCCTAGGAACCTATTGAACTTTTAAAGCTGTCAGTAAGGTCTGTTTAGGCCACTTTGCTGCTCAGAGGGGCTTATCACAGCCCCTCCTATCGCGATCTCCTTACCTGATCAAAGCACTAGGGCCTAGGGAATGCTGAGAAAAATAAGGCCACTTTCACCTGGAAATTCCGCGTAGGAGAAAAGTTGACCCTAAACCGAACCTGGTCAGGAGTTCCGAGGCAGATCCCACGGATGGAGTCTAAAGCATTCAGGCAGAAATGGTGAGTGTGTCAGGAATTCAGAGGCAGCCGAGGACAAAACAAGGGTCTAAGGGAGACACGTCAGCCTGAGCCCCGGCAGTTTCTGAGGTCCCGGGAGGGGCGACGGGAAGCTGGGGACGGGCTCTAGGGCCCCGCGGCCAGGGCCTGGGCGGGGTGGAGTGTAAGGTTACAGGGACGGGACTAGCGACCCTCCCGGGCAGCTCGGGCGGCCGGGAGCGCGGGGCGCTCAGGGACCGGGCGGCAGGGTGGGGTGGGTGGGACTGGAGGGGGAGCTGGGCATCTCTCTACTTCCTGAGCGCTGGGGCGCCCCTCGCCGCGCCGCCCAGCCGCCAGCCATCCCCCTGCCGCCATTCCCCTGCCGGGATCGCCCCATGATCGCCTCATGCGGAGGGCAAAGTCGCGCCGGGGACCTTGCGAGCCTGTGCTGAGAGGTAACCTGCTCAAGCCGGGGGTTCAGGGAGGGCTCCTCTGGACTGGGCCGAGAGGTCTCTGTGGTTCTTCCTCGGATTCCAGGCTGACATCAGCTCTGCTCCAGATGTGGGGACTTGGGCGGCCAGGTCGGCGCCGGGGCCTCCGAGTGTCCCGTGAGGGATCCAGAAGGTTCAATAAGACACAAAGCAGAATCCAGTCCCGTGCCACCCTCCAAGTGCCCAGTACCCACGGGCGGATCCCTACGGGAGACCGGGGACTCTGGTTCTCGCATGGGCCCCCGAGGCGGGACTGACTTTTCCCGTGTTGTTGGCGGGTCCCAGTCGCCGGTGGGGCAGGAGGGTTGGCGGATGCTGCTGTCCCGGCGCAGACAAAGGCGCACGGGGTGCCCAGCCCGGACCCCAGGACGCGCCCTGGCCGGGAGGCTCGAGGCCCCCTCCGCCCCTGCGTCTTCTTTGTTCTTCCCAAACAAGTTTCTTACACAAATCGGGGGTTGGATCCGGCTTTCCCTGGCCTGTTGGCACTGCCTTGAAAAGAATCTGGTTTCTGGGAGGAAACGTAAACTTTCCAAGGGGGAGTTGGTCGAACTTTCTGGGAACGTGACATTTGTGGCAGGCCGGAGAGCGGTACCCAGGTCCACGACGGCTCTTGACAGCCCAGAGGAACCGCTGGTACTGCCTCCTAGGGAACCACGCTGGGGGATGAGTTCTCTTCTCCAAAAATCCCAGGCCTTTCCCCCTTCCCATTTTTTTTAAATGTTTGCTTTTCTGCCTTTGTCGTGGGCGTATTGTCTCTATTATCTGGACTGCGGCTTCAGGACACAGATCTTGATCCCAAGGGCCTTGGTGCTTACATTTTGTATGGAATTTGGCCCCTCTGCTTCCTGCTCCTTTCCACATGGTTCTAGCTTCCTCCTCTGAAGACTATTAAAAGTTTGGCGGGTTTTGCTTATAAAAGGCCTTGGTGGTGGTGGAGGGTTGATGCCTCAGCAGCGTCAGCTTGTTCTTCAGGAGTGAGCACAGCAGGCTAGGGTATATTAAACAGCTACAGTTCAGGAGACTCCTTTTCGGGGAGTGAAATGTCAGGGCTTGACGATGGAACGCTCCTGGCTTCCTGCTTCCAAAACTAGCCTGTGGATCCTGCCAGACTGCCTAAGATTCTTCCTGGCGGCCTACCATATGGGGCCCAGGTTGGCTACCCAGTCCAACACTGGCGCTTAAGGTTCTCTGGGACTCAAGTTCTTGACGGTTCCAGAGAAACAGAAAAAGTGCATACTAGGACTGTGCTCTGAACATTACATGGTTTCTCTCTAAGATGGCTTTTTATCAGAATAACGAGAGAACAGTACTTAAGTTGAACTGTGGAAGAAAAGCAAAGGATCAGGAGGCAGACATTTGAGCAGAACGAAAAAGAGCAGGACATAGAATAGTGTTCTAAAGACCTCTTACTTGGTGGGTTCCTGCTGTGTGCATGTGTGTGTGGTCATGCAAGGAGCAGGCATAGAATAGAGTGTTCTAAAGACCTCTTACTTGGTGGGTTCCTGGTGTGTGTGTGTGTGTGTGTGTGTGTGTGTGTGTGTGGTCATGCAAGGAGCAGGCATAGAATAGAGTGTTCTAAACTCTCTTACTTGGTGGGTTCCTGGTGTGTGTGTGTGTGTGTGTGTGTGGTCATGCAAGGAGCAGGCATAGAATAGAGTGTTCTAAACTCTCTTACTTGGTGGGTTCCTGGTGTGTGTGTGTGTGTGTGTGTGTGTGTGGTCATGCAAGGAGCAGGCATAGAATAGAGTGTTCTAAAGACCTCTTACTTGGTGGGTTCCTGGTGTGTGTGCACAGGTGATGTTTAGTTGTTAAGTGAGTTCGTTTTTGCTTCATCTTGCATGCCACATTTTTTCTTGATGAGGGAAACTCATTCAGGTGACAAGTGAGTGAGAAGCTGCTGTGACGAATGCCCTCATGTCTAGGTATTCAAGGTTCTGTTGAGAAGGTGTGGGCTGGGGGGGGCTCCAGTGGACCGAGAGCACGCACAGACTGAAGCGTGAAGAGTGCATCTTTTATGGACCGCAGCACACAAATGGAGAACCTTCCCGGGAAGGTGCTCGGCTGATGAGCGTGGAGAGTGCCTGCTCCCCGCCAGCCAGCGTGTGTGTGGAGCATCTCTGTGTGGCACCATGCTCTTTCTGATGTCCGACACCATCCAGATACGTGATCCCAGAGCCAGACACACCCAGATGTGTGACCCCAGAGCTAGACACACCCAGATGTGCGACCCCAAGAATGGTGCGCTGAATTAACCGAGGCAGGAGCTCTGCTGGGAGAGCATCCTCCAGGTGAGCGTGTGTTTTCTGAAAGTGCACAGCAACACCTGGAACTGAAAATATCCAGTGACTGTCAGGTTCTGCGGTTCACACCCATGTGTTGGAGTTCGTAAGAACTGCAAGCATTTCTAGTATTTACCAACGTTTTCTCAAGTAGCACTCCTTTCCAGCTGTGTCCCAGTGCATATGTGTGTCCCTGCGCATATGGAAACGCAGGCCAGGGATTTTGTAGTATTTTGAATGTTTTTGTTACCATTGGAGGGTATCTAAATTCAGTAGGTGACAGAATCCTTGAAAAGCAAGAGGTGAGGGAGGAGGTCAGGCCAGAGGATGTATTTGATTACAAAGTTTGCTAGGAATTGTCTGAGGTTATTGAGGTTTTATGTTTGTTTGCCGAGGGATTTTGTTTGAAGTTCTGTTGGTTTGCCCTTGCTTTGTTTTGGAGGAGTGGTTCTGTGTATTTCTGTGTACACCTGGCCGAGGTGGGTGGGTCAGGGCACTGCTTCTCTGAAAGGAAGTCGCTGGTGCTCTTGGATGTTGCCCTGGGTCCTGTGCTCTTCTGTCACTGTGGCAGGGCCAGCCATCTCAGGGCCAATGAATGTCAGGTCCTACTCAGCACAGCATTGTTCCAATGACCCCTGTGCTTATATGGGCCATGGCAGTCATTAGTTGTTACAGGACCATGGACCCAGACATGGCGCTTGGTAGCAACTCAGGCTCAGATGCCTCCACAGGCCCCGTGTTAACATAGGACATCCAGATCATTCTGGATGCATTCATCCCAGACTCAGGGCGGAACTCCCAGCCTATCAAGGGGCTCAACATCAGGATTGTTTGTCTGTTTTATTTTTCCCCTTTTCTTTTTAGGAGGAAGTAGGCATTGGGAACACGACCCTGTCAAGTCCCTGGGTGCAGCTTTCAAATGTTGTCCTGTTTGTGTTTGGGGTCTCGCTGGCAGCGCTGCAGCTCTGTTTCCACCACTGCTGTCGGAAGTGGAGGAAATGTTAGTAGAGTCCTCAGCCTCCACTCTCCATCTGAAGTGATTGTGCCTTCCCAGCAGGTTGCAAGTATAGTAGTGAGGTCTAGGTTACCCTGTCTCCTCTGTGGTGACCCTTACATGGTCATGGGACCCTAGCAGAACCAAGATGACATGAGTGTAATCCTCAGAGCCCAAACCGGGCTCTTCAGGTTTTAAGCACACACGTTTGCTGAGTGTGCACCTCCACGCACTGTGAGTCCAGCTCCATGGTCAAGATGCAGAGCAATTCCTACTCTTGGGGCTTTTCCTTGCTCCCCCATTATGGTGACACCCACTCTTTCCTTCTTCCCCTCCGTCCCTGAATTGCAGTGATACCTCACCTAGTCATAACTCTCTACAATTCTGTTGTATTATGTTTTATGTAAGCAACATGGAACACTTGAGATTGGCTCCTTCGTCTGTGCTGTTTCATGAGATCCACTCAGAGTTTTGCTTGTATCCATGATCGGTTCATTTTCATTGCTGAGTAGTACTCCAAGGGCTGCATATGGTTTGGCCACTCATCTGTGAAAGACACCTGGGTTGCTTTCAGTGTTTATTACCAAAGAGGTTTCTGTGGATGTTCACAAACAGGGGTGTGTGTGGACATATTTTTTCACTATTTCAGATAAATACCCAGGAGGCTAGATTAGATGGTAACTGTGTGCTGTTAATAAAATAATTGCTAAATGCTTCTCCAGAGTAGCAATTTCATTAGATTCCTCCTTGCAGTGTAAACACCCGGCGTTTCTGTATCCTGACCAGCATCTGATAGCACTGATTTCTATGTTAGTTGTCCCAATGGGTGTTTTAATGGGTGCTGTAAGCTCATTGTGGTTTAAGTTTGTTCTTCCCTAAGGCCCACAGGCCTGCGCATGCTCTCTGCAAGTGCTCTGTCTGCATGCTCTGTTTGGAGGAGAAGTCTATTACTTCACTGCCCTAACTGGGTGGTTTATTTTATCCCGGGCTCTGAGCGTCCTCGGTGTGCAGGGTTGTGGCATGCATCTTCTTCCTACAGTGGGCTACTGTCCTTTACTCTCTTTCTGGAACCATTTTGAAAAGCTAAGTCTGTAATTTTGGTAAAGTCCAATTAACTGATTTTTTTTTTTGTCTTTATACATGGTGCTTTTGGTGTTTATTCCTCCTAAGAATGTCTTGCCTAGCCCTGTGTCCCAAAGCCTGTCTTCCTATGCTTGCTTCTACAGTGTTTACATTTTATGTTTAAATTGTAAATTATGTCTTCTAGCATCTGTGAGTCTTAGTGTTGACCTTTATTCATTTTTGCATTTTTTAGGAAAGAATTTACTTATTATGTATGTATATATGTGAGTGTATGTGTGTGTGTGAGAGTGTGTATGTGTGTGTATGTGTGGGTGTGTGTGCGCACGCGT